CCATTTTCGAAAAGGGAAAAAAATCAAGCACTTTTCAGCATCATAGCCTTCCAATGAAGTAAACCGGGCTCGAATCCCAGTAGATACGAATTCTGCATCCAGCTTGAACTGACCACAGTGCTGACGTGAAATAACCTCAGTGGTAAACGGATCATGTGTTAGAGTCCCTCAGTCTAACCGTGGGAGGTTCTCGTGATCTTCCCCTCGATGTAACGCAAATGCGGGTTAGTTCCTTCAAAAAGTCCTCCACGAAGGCAAATTTCTCCCTATACTTGACCCAGGAGATCTGGTTTGGGTTCAAAATTACAAGGCAACGTAGTTGAACGTTAGTTGTCGTAAACCCAAAAATTGGGTCGGCTGTTCAACGACGGTTATAAAATAAAATAAAATATCCCTAAATTCGGTCAACTTTGTGTGTTCTCCTTCCAACTGAGACCAACAGTCAAAAAATCCCCTTTTTTGGCAGTCAAATAATCTTTTAAAAATATTGGTACTATTGTTGAACATTCGAATATTTTATAAAGAACGATGGTTTTCTTCTATTTAATCTTAATTACCGTAAAACAATATTATTTTAACCCTTTCTAAGGCCGTGGTATGCATACTTACCGCCAATTTTAAATGTCCATTGTAAATTATTTAACCATTTTTAATTTGGCTTTTCATTTGTTAATAACTTTAGTTCTGATGAAACACTTTTGAATGAAATTAGTGGCCATATAACAGTTTTAAAAAAAACATTTAAATAACTATAATAAGAATAATTCCTATTGCAGTTTGTAGTATTAACAAAATTTGTTTTATAAATAAAATAAAAGTCAGTAACTTGCTTGCTTTCTTTACAAGAACCTAATGAACAGCGAGTGCTAAATATACTTATCGCAAAAGAATGGCTTTAAATTTAAATTAATTTTATCTCATAGGCTAAATTAGTATTTTTTTCTCATATCAATTTCAATTCCGAAAATATTTTAATTTACATTTACTGGAATTAAATGGTCCATTAAAGGGTTATAGCGTAATGAGTTTTTAAAATTTATTTTTCTAGAACGCAGAAAAATAAACGGTATGTTTATTTATTTAAACGTTTTAATTACATAGTTTCCTAGGATAAACTTATATACGTGTTTACTTTTAACTCTTTGTATAATAAATTCTGTAAAGTGACACAACGTTTAGTAGAATAATAAGCAAACATCAAATAATTTTTTTAAAAAAAAGTTTATATTTCGTATTTTAAGTAAACATTTATTTCAAAGTTTAGGTAAAAAGCCAAGAAAATATAAAGTTTTTATCAATCCTATTTTCCTAGCTTTGAATACCGAAAAGACACAATTTATAAATAAACAATCTTTAGAAAATTTTATAGAGTTAGGATTTAATTAATTAGTTCCGGGCATTTTAAAAACTTGGTCTTTGATGGGTTTTTCCGAGAATCATTCTTTCTCATCTCATTTGATTTCTAATTTAACTGTTAGTATTTACCCAGAAAATTGTCGAAACAATCAAGATTGCACAAGTTCTTTGAAGAAATAATAATAATTATTAGAATAATTATAATTCTTATATTATTCTTATAATCATTAGAATAATTATAAGAATTATAGAAATAATAATAATTCGAAGAAATATGTTTGCGGAAAATATAGAATGGAAACACCCTGTGTATGTAAAAAATGCGTATTCTTTGTGTTTGTAACACATAAAAATTGGCAATATACAATTTTGTTTAAATATAATAAAGTTGTTTTTAGTTTATTTCCTTCCTAACATCCATATTTCATACATTCAATCAAGAAATATAAAGTCCAGTCATTTTACCGGCTATGTTAGAAATAGGTATAAATTAAGTGTTGGTATGTTTAGTGTTAATGGGTACAAATTTTCGCAAGTTCGTCAATGGATGTAATGCAAACCACAGCGTCTGTGGTTGCAGCTGAGCTGTAACAAAAATTATGTACATTTAGAATCACGTATAAGTAATATTTAAACTAGCCATTACGAAACTAGCCATCACGCCTATTATTAACCCTTTGAGATCAAATTAAATTTATACTCAGTTTTTTGCATTAAAAGAGCATACTATGCTCGGTAATAATGGTAAAAAAAAATTCTCTTTTAAAAGAAAAAAAACTAGATATAAAAAAATTGAAAAATATTCTTTTGAACATTGTTTATTTCCAAAGTCTAAATAGAATTTTTTTTAAAAACACGAAAGTAAAATATACTTTAAGAAAAACAATTTAAAGCAGTGATTAATGGAAACGTGAAGAAAAATGTATTTTTCAAATTAAAAATGATAGTATACATATGATAGTATAAAAATGATAGATATTAAAAATTAAAAATGATAGTATCAAGTTCCTAGTTTCTTTCGCTCTATAAATCCTTAAATTAGTCAAAATTTCTTACATTAATAGACAGAGTTTTACTCAAAATAAATGTACTAACTTTTCCTGCTTTTCTATTCAAAACTTCAAGTAAAGAGTTAATTTATTATTTTTTTTAAAATTAAAAGTTGGAAACAACCTTTTATCATATTTTTTTTTTAAATTTTAAAATAGAAAAAAACTTTTTTTTAAAGGAATCTGTGCTTAAGGGTTTTTATAAACTACGTATACTATTTTGCCTAGGTATACGTTTTGCTATTTTGTAATCGTTATTCTATAGAATACCTAGTCAAATCATAGAATTGAATAATTTTATTTACTTTAACTGACTTATTGCATGAATTACCTAGTTATTCTCTGAAAAGAACGGATTTCACACTTTAACAGTAAAATGTGGATTGATTTCTAACCAAAATCTTTACTAACACTCTTAAAGTATACATATATTACAGAAGATGCTATCGAAGATAGAATGATTGTCATTTATGTAAATTCTTAAACTTTGTTTTTATCATTATGATTAATCGCCGATGAAATTCGATTCAATTCAGTTTCAAGGAAATTGCGACTATTGAAATGCAAAGATTCTTAAATGATATTCAAATCTCGAGGACAACTATTTGCATATAAATTGAACATTTATAATTCACATTTGGATTCTTTGATTAATGGAAAATAGAAATTTTTCAATGTAATAAATATATCTTCGATTTCTAGCGAGTAATGATCGAGTTAGATCGCATGCATCTGTAAAATTGTTCTATTCATTGAAATTAATCATGAGCCAACATTTTTTTTTTAAAAAATGCCATTTTTCTTTCTTAATGTCCTTAGTTTTAGCGCATGCGTAAAACAAAAAAACGAAATACCTTAATAACTTTTAATCTAATGACCGGAGTATTGTGTACTAGATGCAATATTTACGGTTACAATATTTTAAATGTGTGCAAACATATTTTAATTCACATAAATAATTTTTGAGGTACAGAAAAATGCGTATCAAGTGAAATTAAGATTAAGAACTCTCTTAACTATGTTAATCTCTAGAATATTTTATCAGAGTCTCAAATTTATTGAGCAGAATTGTAAAATTAGTCTGTCCAAACACAATTGAATGTAAAAAAAAAACAACAGATTTTAATATTTTTTATTATTTTTAAATTATCGTTGAGAAATTTCAAGGGACAAAAATATTTACATAGAATAATTTTAACTAAAAAAATCAAAATTTAAACGAAATATAATGAATAGTACTTTGAGAAATGAAAATTTATAATGACTGTAATATTATTTATAATGAATATTTAATAATGATTTTGATAATGATTTTATGTATTTTCATATTTTATATAATTTAAAGAATGATTTTATACATTTACAATGATTTTAAATTTTATTACCCAAACTATTCGGCCGATTTTGCTGAAATTTTATATTTTTTTTCATTTAAAATTATGTAGTTTAAATGTAGTTAGTTATGTAGTTAGTGCAAAAAATTGTATGCGTTAAAATTTAAAAAAAAAAATTATCCGCCATTATATAAATAAAAACCTTTTCTTTTATTAAATTAAATTTTGCATGAAATTAGCATTAAATAAAAGATTTTTACAATTTTCATTGAAAAAAATTTTTTGTTTTTATAAATAATGCAAAAAAAATCTAAAATGAGGATTTATGTTTTTATATAAGATATTGCTGTGACAGATAACAAACATATGTATAGAAAAATTAAAATAACTAACTGGTACATATGTGATGGTGTAGGTGCAAAAAAAAATTATTAATTCTATGGATTTTGCTCACAAATCGAAAGTGAAAGTTAAGTATACATATTTGCGATAAGTCAAAGCCAAATTGAAGAGCTTTTTAAACGTTTTTCCTTTTTTATTGAACACATGTGCATAGGAATTATTTCGTAATCCAATCTTAAAGCTGACTCTTAGAATAAGAATATAGTGTTAGAATGAATTTTAGAATAAGACTTAGAACATTTTAATTTAATATAATTTAATTCAGATATATTGAATTTCGAATGAAATTACTTTAATTTTTATTACGAAAAAATGATTTTTTTTTCTTTAATTCTAGAACTTTTTTTTTAAATTGAATTTTTTCCAATCTTTTACAAAATGCGTTATTTTTAATAAACAGCCAACCTTTTGACGTTATTTAAAACATTGCTTTACATTTAGAAGAAGAAAAAAAACACTTTTGAGTATTTTTAAGTAGCTGTAGAATTTTAAAAGTGTGAAACGAAAACCTATTGTTTAATCGTAAATGTACATTTTACATTAATTACGCTCAAATTTTTGGCGCGTGTTATTAGAAGTACAGAAGTGTTATCATGCGATTTTATATTGTTAAAAGATGACGCAATTTGATGATTAGATGTGTTTACGCGTACATTAGAAGCAATTGAAGCTTAAATAATTTTTTTTTTTTGAAAACTCACTCAATATAATTCCAAATCGCCTACAACATACTTTTTGATTTTGATAAAAAGATTAAATCATTAATACTGAAACTGAAATATCCCTAACGCAAAACGAACCGCGTTTTTTGGACTATCCTTACCGTCTCTGTTAAAGAATTGAACGCATAGAATGTGTTAGGGCAGGAAACAAGAGTTATATTTTTTCTATAAGTGATTGGTCATAACGGTTCTCTTACCTGTCCGGCGACCGACCGCTAGGGGGCGGCCTACTTTTGGACCGGCGGGTAATGAAAGGTAGGTAGTCAGATGGATAGTATGCACAAGTACAGGTGTGTCCGTCCCGACCGGCGGACCCTAATGTGCATGTGGACACTGGTCATTTCTATTATGTGTGGGAGTTTTATTCTTTGCGCCACTTCTCAGTGGCAGAGGTGTAAATAAAAAGTTATTCAACAGAGGATTATTATCGTTGTTAATATGGACCTCACATGGGAGAAGGTGTATCGTTGTAGTGCGTACTTTTGAAGGAATGTCCAGTACTGAGTGTACAAATTTAGCATCTTTAGTTGTGAACGGTGGAGTACCTTTCAAAAATCTCATGATGACGACGGATATGGTGGAATTCCAGGATGTAAGTTATCTCTCTCCCTCTGAAGCCTATACGCCTCTTTTTTTTTTTCTGAAGATATTATTTCGATTTTTAAAAAAAAAATTTATTTATTGTTATTTATTTATGTCAGCGTTTATGAAAATCCACTGAAATTAAAAAATTCCTTTAATGTTTTACATAAATGTTTGAATTAAAAAAAACCGTAATAACTTTTAAAATAATTCTGTAAATTTAAAATTTCTTCACAAGTGTAGAAAAAACAAAAATTAAATTAATAAATAAATTAATAAGAAAAAAATAAATAAAATTAGCATTTAATTTTTTTATTACATAATAAACAATGTTGTTTTTTTTATTATTTTTTTTTTAGAAAAAAATTGCTGCTTTCTTTCTTTACAGTGAAACTATTTTATCATGAATCCTTTTAAGTACTTCATTACAAATCATTTTAGAATTTTTCCCCTATATCTACAAAGTTGCAATCATTTATTCTTAACCACATCGCTCTTTCTCTATATATACGATTTTTTTCTGAAGATATTATTTGGATTTTTTTGAAATTTATTTATTGTTATTGACTTGTTATTGCATTTGCGTTTATGACAACTCAAAAATTAAAGAATTCCTTTATTGTTTTACATAAAGTTGTTTTTGAATTTAAAAAACTAAAATAACTATTTAAATAATTCTGTAAAAATTTCACAGGTTTAATGTTGCCTTTTTTAATTTTAGAAAAAGACTATTGATTTCTTTCTTTACAGTGAAACAATAACATGAATCCTTTTAAGTATTTATTACAATTCATTTTAGAATTTTTCACCAATATCTACAAAGTTGCTATAAATACACTATGATTTTTTAAAACCATATCGCTCCTTCTCTCTATATACGATTTTTTTTTGTTTAAGATATTATGATATTATTTGGATTTTTTAAAATTCATATATTGTTATTTACTTATTTCAGCATTTGCATTTATTAAAATTCACAAAAATTAAAGAATTCCTTTTCTGTTTTACATAAAGTTTTTTGAATTTAAAAGACAAAATAACTTTTAAAATAGTTCTAGAAACATTTCACTAGGTTTAGCAACAAAAAATAAATAAAATAAAATAAATAAAAAATAGCATTTAGTTTTTTATTACAGAATAAACAGTCTTTTAACATAATAAACAATTTTTTCCATTAGAAAAAGACTATTGATTTCCATCTTTACGGTGAAACAATTTTATCATGAATCCTTTTAAGTATTTATTACTAATTGTTTTATAAATTTTCCCCAATGTCTACAAAGTTGCTATCAACATCATAATTTTCTTTTTCATAAGTACATAATAAAAAATGTCAAAAAGAGTTTCTTCTTGGAATGTGTCAGTCTTGAAAAATATTTCTTTGAAATTCATTATCAATTGGTTAAAATCAAATATTAAGAGCTTTCTATAATAATTTTCTTACGTAATTTTGCACAAAAATAATCAAACGAAAATATTTAAAAGCATTATTCGTGCCTAAATGCTTACTATAAAAAAGAAAGTGTTCCTCTAAATAATTAAATCAAAATTTAAATTTCAGAACAGAAAAATGAGAACTTGCGTACTTATAGTAGTAAAATAATTTTTTTTTTTTTTTAAAAAAAGGCTTTGTCCTAGAAAATGAAAATGTTTTAAATTTTTTTTTCAGGAATAATATAATAATACCATTCCAAACTTTTTAAGAAAAAGTAATTTTTTTATATTCAGGTACAAAATTTTAGCCCTATGTATACTATACTGCCCTATGTATACGATAGTAGTCTAAAAAAATCTATTTTTAGATCATATACTGTAGAAACAAAATGTAATTTCCTTTTTAATTTATAATTTTAATTTTATAATTTTAATTCTCTAATTCTCTAATTCTTATTTTTCTAATTTCTCTCTTAATTCTTTTTTAATTCTCCATTTCCTGCATTTTGGTTATTCTTTCTTTAATTTCGGTTAAGTGGTACTTTTTATAAAAAGTTAATACAACTATTGCAATTTCAGTAAATTATTTATTTTAAATTTTTTTAAGCTTTTTGCAGATATTTTTACCATTAAATATTTTTTATATATATATATTTTTAGCCAAACTATCGTTTATTTTGATGATTTTTATTATCGTAGATCGTTAATTTATATTCTTAAATTATTACCGACAGTAAGAATAATAGTTATTATTATAAATGCAAAAGTTATTACAAAATCATAGAAGCAATAAATTGGGAAAATAATTCGAATCTGTAACTTGTATTTTTACTAACTTTGTATTTAATCAATTTCAACATGAGAATGCGTTTTCGAATAAAATGGTGACTTATATAGTGTTTATAATATTAATAAATTGAAAAATTTATTTAATATTAACAAAATTTAATTTTTTGGCCTTTTTTTCTCATTTTCCAGAAAAGAAAGGTTTTTATATTTACTTTAAGCAATCGTTTGATAAAATAGTGAAAACATAATTTTTTATAACTAAAATGATATTTAATAAATTTAATGTATCTATATTATGCCTGCTTATAAGGTTAAGGAGGTATCATTTGTGTTTAATAATGATACCTGTTATTTATGTGTCATATATGTTTAATAGAATTGCTAGTCAGTTTAAAAGCATTGTTATTTTCATTCGACTTTAATCTAAAAAAATAAAAAATTTTATAACTAAAATTCAATCAATTTTAAACGTTACTTAGGCCGACAATACATACTAACTAATACGAATCATTATACTTATTCATGAGCATTCACAAATATTGTGCAGATTTTCTTTAATATGTAATTTGAGAAACAAAATTCAATAAAATTTTATATAGCTGATCAGTCAAAATATTTTTGCTCTTACTTAAAATTTAGCTAACCTTATTATAAAAATGTCTTTTTATTTATTTATAGTTTGGCTCTTCAGTGCTTTTAATTTTTTAATAATAATTTAAGTTACAAATGATTGGAGCATGACTATTTTTATTATTATTTTATTTATTTTATTACTTTTTATGACTTAACATTAAAAATATTATTGCTGTTTAACTTTTACTTAAGTTTTCGAATAAAAGTTGACCACTATTAAACATTTGATTGCTAAAACTTATAATCCACAGACATTATTAAACGATTTATATGCCTTTTCGAGCTGGTATCAAACCAAAGTTTTTTTTCTGAATATATACTCACGGTTTTGAGACTTCGAGAAAATAGGGTTAGGTTTTGGAATTATGACGTCATCGACTTAGTTTTACAAAATAATAATTTAAGTTTGAAATTTTCCATTTTGAAAATGAAAAATATCACGTTTTTAAGAAACAATGTTTTGTTAAGAATCCTATTCAAGAATAAAATATTTTATGAAATAAGTTTTTACAATAAAATATATCGCAAAAACTCCATTTTTACGAAAATTAAAATAAAATCCTGTTAAAAAAATTCGTTATCAGACTTAAATTTCTTTTAAAATCATCATAGTTTTAGTTAAGAAATTATTCATAATAGTACAAATGTGTATTAACATTTTTCATATTATTTTAAAACTAATACTATAACACTTTTGTGAGATTATTTCCTATATTATCATTTAACTACAGAATATCATCAGTCCATAGAATAGAATTCAACATCATAAAATTCGAAATATATTTTTATAAACAAATAAAAAAAAAATCGTTCATTTTCCTTCAACAAAACGAATTCAAACATAATAATCGAATCGCGTATTTATTTTTATTACTACTTAAAAAACAAACTACCCATTGAATTCTGAAACTGTTGAAAATAACAGAATCATTAGTAACTTTCTTACCAATTCTTACAATAGGGTAGTTACGACACGTTACGCTAAAATTGAAATTCTCATTTCTATTGTTAAAGTTTTCGAACGTAAAAAAAAAGAAAAATTACTGTTTAAAATAGAAACAATAATCCTCCGGCGTTTTCCGAAAACATGGTTATGTATCAAGTAAAATAGTTGCAAACAAAACAATACTCGCAATTCCCCCCCCCCCCCAACTCTCTTCCTGCTCGCTCGAATAAAGAGCAAGAGGCCGAACGCTCGCCATCACTTAGTCGGCACGCCGATCGTCTGATTACCGTCGATAGGTAGGACGTAAAAATAGCCCAAATCTGCAGCGTAATCACAGGATCCTATTGTTATTTCGTCTTATACCGATATTTAGTTGAAATTAAAACTGGATTTTCTAGTTCTGACATCCAAAAGATAATATTCTTCTTGGAAAGTAATTTTTAGATTTTAATCTTAGATGTGTGACTGTAATTATGCTTTCAAGATATTGGGGGTAAAATATAGCCAATGGAATACTACCAATAAAAAAAAATATAGTGATTAGATTTTTATCTTATATAGCGGTGTTTTAAAGAAGGAAGTTTATCAACTTTCTCAAATTTAATAGATAAAAATAGATTTCTTCAAAATGAAGTAACGGTGAAGTGAAAATGTAAAATTTCCATTCGCATTGAAAGTTGCTGTAACGAATAAAAAATATTTTATCATATTAAAAATATTTTAGCCAACGTAGCTCTTCATTTTTAAGCGAATTTTAGTTTCTAATTGTTGCGTGCGTGAGCTATTTTTTTTATTAGTTCGAATTCCATGATTAAACTTGTGTTAAACTACTAACCATGATTCCTTGTATTAAACTACAAAAATAATAGTTTTTCCGATCACTGGGTAAAATCAACTGAGTCACATGAAAAAAGAGACTATTAAATTCCGTATCGCGATAAATGCATTTAAATATCTACACCATTTCTTTTCAGGGCCATTAAACTACACGAAAATATTATACTTACGCAAAGAAAAGAAATCCTGTCTGAATGTTTATTGACATACCATTGTAAATTAAATTTGCTTTAAAAAAAAAGTATCTTAGAATTGTTTCCATTTAAGTACACTGTTAAATAAGCTCGCGTAACTTAACACCAAAAATGGTGGTAACTACTTTATACTAATGTGGTGCTCCACTACACCAAAACTAACCATTCCTGGAGTAG